AAACGTTGTACCTCATGTCTTATCCGACCACATAAAACTTAGTTTCCTGGATGGTCCCGACAGTATTCACCAGTAATGTTATCTCCCCCTTAGTGGTTTCACATGCCATGTTGAATCCGTTTAGAACCCGGACTGCAGGCACGATTTGATCTTGTAGACCGAGCTACTTCACGACCCTCAATCGGATGATGTTGGCCAAGATATCTAGGTCAATTAACACACGTTTAACTCGAGATTTATTTATGAGTACATATATTACCAGTGCATCATTGTGGGGCTGTACAAAACCTTTCGCGTCCCCATCGTTGAAAGACAAGGTTCCTTCTGGTATATAATCTCGAGTCCATATTTCCCTCGTGATGGATACTTTGGTGCGCTTCAACATTGGCCCCTAAGGGACATCGACCCCACCGATGATCATATTGATGACGTGTTGAGGTTATTCTTGTTCGGTCTATCTATTAGAATCCCTATTCCTGAACTAATTTTTGGCTCGGTCGCTCAGGAATTCTCGAAGATACTCCTTGTTGAATAGTCAGGCTATTTCCTCTCTCAATTGTCGGCAATCCTCCATTCTGTGGCCGTGAGTGCCGTGATATTTACACATCTGGTTAGAATCCCTTTGGGTTGGATCGGATTGTAGAGTTCGAGGCCATTTGGTGTCCTTAATGTGTCCGATAGCTGATACAATGGCGACAACATCGACGTTAAAGTTGTATTCCGATAACCTCGGTGCTTCCTTAGGCCCGATAGGCTTGTAGAAACCGTTCTTGCCCATGAGTCCCTGATTATTTTGACCTCAATCACTTCTCATTTCACTTCTTATGTGATTTCTCCCTGATCCGTTACCTCTTTGATCCCCATTGAACGGCTGATAACGATCCCTGCTTAATCTCGGTTCACGATCAATGTCTCTCTTGGATCTATCGACGGCTCTGATGGGGTAAACGAACCCCGAAGGGGACTAAGTTGATCATCTTCGACTCTAATTTTTGATTGATACCGTTTATGCACGTCGGCCAAAGTAACGGTCGGATATTCTATCAGGTTTAGTTTCAACTGTTGTGAAGCCACCGAGCTTCGAACATTGAGTCCCTGGGTGAAATCTTGAACGGCCCAATTGTCCGCAATCGGGAGTAAGTCCATTCTCTCCATTTGAAATTGGGACACAAACTCCATGAGCATTTCATTATACCTCTATTTTACTTTGAAGAGGTCTGACTTCCTGGTCTCGACCTTAATAGCTCTGGTATGTGCTTTTACGAAGGAATCTGCAAGCATAACAAACGAGTCAATAGAATTAGAAGGTAGTTTATGGTACCATATCATGGCTCCCTTTGACAGGGTCTCTCCGAAATTCTTCAACAAGACAGACTCGATCTCATCATCCTCCAAGTCGTTCCCTTTGATGGCATATGTGTAGAAGGTTACATGTTCATTTGGGTCGGTCATTCCATTGTACTTAAGAATCTCGGGCATGCGGAACTTCTTAGGGATTGGATTTGGAGCCGCGCTCGGAGGAAAAGATTTTTGCAGGAACCTCTTGGAATCTATGCCTTTCAATAACGGCGGTGCTCCTGGGATTTGGTCGACCCTGGAATTGTATGTTTCCATATTTTTGTCATTAGCTTCGATTTTCTTCTCCCCCAATTCTACCCGTTTGGTCAGTGCGTCGAGCATCTTTATGATCCCGGGGTTAGTCCCTGATTCATTTTCATTCGACCTCGCTGTGACCGGTTCATCCCTGCGGGTGACTTCCTGAGACGGATCGGGTTCAATTCTACTCGGTGCGCGGCTTTGGTTCTGTAATTGAGCTATCGCCGCCTGTTGAGCCTGCAACATTTCGAATATCACCTGTAGACTGATCCCGTCTCCTCCAATATTTTATGTATTTTGAGATGCCGATCGGGTTCCACCACAGACGCTATTCTCGGGGTCGGTAAGCAGTTTTGTGTTGATAGCCACATGTGAATTAGCGTCAATTGGGTCTGGGACTGGAATTCCGATGTGATCAATGGGCGGTACCTCGTCACCGGGAGTTATGTTGTTATTTTCACCGTGATGACCAGACTCATTGTCAACATGTAAGGGTGCTAATTGAAAGTTCAACATTTTGAGTTTTAACCTGAAATTAGAGACACTTCAAAGAACAAGTGTAAAGTAGTGTGTGTTATGGAGATTTGTATCAAATAACCACTATTATTCTTAGCCCCACGATAAGCACCAAACTGTTTACCCTCAAAATTGGATAACAATTGAATTTGTAAGTGGTTTTAAGGATACATTGATTAACTTGACACAAAACGATAAATTAGATTACAATTGAAATAAATAATGATAAAGTAAATGCAAACTACACAAATTGGATAATTTCAGCCTTGAAAGGTTAGGCACCCTCGAGCCGAATGTACTTCGATCGATATCAAGACACAGAAGAATAAAAGTTTAAAGAGAGTAATAATGTATTACTTTGGAATGCGTGTCACAATACGTTTTACAAGTAATCAGAGCCCCTTTATATAGTAGGGGAGTCCTACATTAGGTAAAAATTCTCTAATTAACTGATTGCCAATCTCTTATCGATATGTGTCGAGATCTCCGTCGTGATATTCGGTCGGTCACAGATATCACGGCCTTTTGTTGTTCGAGCTTGACTACCCGACAATGTTCTTCGAAGTTAATCGAGGCTAGGGACCGATCCCGAATCACGACCCCGACATCCTCGAGGGCTGACGTTATGGTACGGACTCCAAATTGATGAGATCTCTACCTCGATCTAAGCTCCCCTGTTACCATATCTCGAGCTTGGCTTATCATGTCGGAGACCGGGATGTACTGTGAGACCGGTTCTACCCGTATACACATATATAATCCTACCTCCTGACTAAGATACAACAAATCCCTTCATTCTTGTTCACATCAACATGATCAGTTCACTAAAGGAGGTCAAAATATAAAGGTAAATTCACGAAAAGTCATGTTAATATATAGTATATATATATACATAAAAAAAGATATTATGTTTGCCCTAGCTACATAGTCTGATATTCAAACGAAGGGTTGTTGGTTTAACATGTGGCTTCGCCACTGAACATGCTGATTAGAAGTTAGAACTACATTAAAATATCAAATTGTTAAGTTTTGTGTTGCTTTAGTTTGATTTGGTTTTGAAAGTAAAGTTCCAAAGCCAATTAAAGTAAGTGATATATTCAATGTGTTTTATGTGTAATCTGACTGGCAGTACGTATGAGAAAGTGATAGTATTGTATAATGTGTTTGTGTGTAATTATGGACATTCATTCATCAATACATATATGAGAGTAATAGGGTTAACCTGTCGAAGTAGAATACAAAACATATTTGTTAGCCTTCAAATATTGTACGACACAAAAGTGATATAGGTATTTTTTTAATTTTAACGGTTGGGTAGTCGGCTATTTAGGTTCAATCTTTCAACCTAAACAATTGTCCACCCAACCGTTTAAACTAAAAATAGCTTACGAATGTGTAATATATACATAATAGATATATATAATATATGTATAATCATATACAATAAGTGTATAATGTATGTATATTGGTTAAGAAAAGTAAATAGTTAATCCGACAGGCTATTTGTGTAAAGATCCTTTGAGTTAAACTTTCATTGAACATTCTCATGGACCAGCCCATTATTTGTGAGCAGTTGCAACTTGCAAGTGGGCTAAGAAACCATACATGATGAAACTAGTTTTCCTACTATATTTTATCAGCCATCTCGCAACTGAAATGGCAAAATACAACTCTAATGAATTGATTTAATTGGATGAAAATATGATGAAACGAAATATAATTGTGGACTGCTAGCCAAGGAAGGAGCCTGAAACAATATTTTAGTAGTTACTCCGGTGTTTGCAAATGAAACTGTTTCGACATACGTCCTAGGAACTATGTTCGAAAGATAAAATATAAAAGATTATTGTAGGAGCATCTGAACTACCCGAGAGTTTGAATAATCTCTTAGCTTGTAGTTTTGTTAATTATGTTCACTACGAGTAGACAATTTAAGTCATTTACTTTAAAAATCAATTGGATCGTCTATTGCACGAAAATATAAAAACAAAACAAAACAAGAAATTGTCGGGTGCTTATTTCTCTAGAATTGATTCGCATAATGCGCTGCAGAGCACCCTCCGGAAATCTTCATGCTGGATCTGTGATGGATTATGCGGCCCGCGAAAGTATTATGTGGTCGCATATTGGACCGCAAAACGACCCTCCAAAATTGGTCATTTTTCTGTTGCGATCTGCGGCCATATTATTCAATTATATCCTTTTTTGGCTTAAAACTTCAAAAATTCAAATATGTTACTATAGGCAACTGTTAAATGTTATTAGAATTGTTAATATATACTTCAAGTTTTAGCAGCCAACACTAAGAATAAGTTTTATAATAAAACTGATAGCTTCATAGATGGGATTTACAGAAATTGTATTAGGTTAACGTAGGAGTAAATATGTTTATTGCATAATAGTTGGAAATAATTAAAAGGATATAACTTATGGAGTAATTTATAAGTTTAAGTATTTGCATTTAAACTTACAATACAAGAACTGTATGTATACGAGTGTAAACATAAGTTGAACAATAGGCTATTCAAAATTCGATCGACACCTTTCGACCAACTTAAAATGAACTCAATTAGGACATTTTAGTTTTATGAATAGAATGTGAGCAAGCCATATTGAACTATAAACTAGTTTAACTCGAGTACCTGTACATACAATTTGCCCAACAATTATACAGGAGTTCAATAATTTGAGTCTATAATTTTGGCTGAGAGTCTAATAATTTGAGTTCTGATATAATTTTGACTGTGTATGAACGCATATTTATATGTGATTGCAACTATAAATAATAAGTTATTTAAAATAACCATATCACAAACAAAAAGACAGTTTCGTTCTCAGTAAATAGTGAGACATAGAAAAGCATATTTACCTCCCCAGGGGCCGGCGTGTGTAGAACCGAACAAATATTTCATTTTGTTGCGCTTTTCTTTTAAAATCATTTACAAAACCAAATCCAAGCATATGACTAATTGTTCATTTCCTACCTATCATTATATACCAAATGATTAACCAAACGTATTATGTTGCTATCAGTGCTATACCACCTATGAACAATAAAAATTATGTAGTCAAGTTAAGAGCCATATATGGTATTGCAAGGATTTGCACATTGCTGGAAATATCCGCTATTTTATATTCTTCTTGATCTCCATCATAAGAGCTTGCTCCTATTCTGAGAAAAGAATAAGATATTAAATATTCTTAATAGAAAATATTTACTACTACAAGTCCCACACCAAGAATTTGAAATATATCATCATACAAAAATAAGCTAGAAAGAGAGAACATAGACACAAGCCAAGTATCTATGCAAATCAATTACTCTGGAGTACTATATCCTAGTGTATGAGTCACGCTAGCAATGTCTTTAAAAGCAAAGTACTATATCCTAGTGTATGAGTCACGCTAGCAATGTCTTTAAAAGCAAAGTACTATATCCTAGTGTATGAGTCACGCTAGCAATGTCTTTAAAAGCAAAGTACTATATCCTAGTGTATGAGTCACGCTAGCAATGTCTTTAAAAGCAAAGACGTCGTTACTACAATCTACTTTTACGTTTTGTGCTATGAAAACTTTATGAAAAAAAAATCAAAAAAACCCGAAAACCAAAAAAATCCGAGAAAAATAAACTTATTTTATTTACTCATCAAGTTGTTGTTGCTCATGACCCAATACATACCTCAGTCATCAGAGTCATCAGACTTCTTTAAAAGGATGACTTCCTTAAACTTCTATTTGATGAATAATCAGTCTATAAGAAAATCAACAAATAAAAATAATTTAGATTTCAAAAAATACCGCAAAAGATGTAATCAAATAAAAAATGTCCTTCGAGATATAGTCAGCTCAAAATAATGCTTAATCTTGACCCTTCCGATTAGAAGTTAATCAACATGGAATCTAAATGGTTGATAAACCAAGTAACATCAATAACTTTTTTGTGTTATTCTGTCCGCAAGAGCACCGCGTATTTGAAACGGACTCAGTCCAGGTCATATATTTTTCTTTCTCAAATTTTTGGTTTGTCCTTGGCATCAACATGCGACACATATCCAATTTGCAATGATTAATGAACAAAAAGAATAACGAAGTTATACCATATAACAGTTAACAAATAACTCTACATTAATCATGCTAAACCATCCTTTCTCTGTTTGTACTCAATCTTAGTGCATAAACTCACCGAACAAAAGTATCTCATGAAAATAGTGCAGTGGGGTATAGAGTAATTGTGTTGTAATTCACAAATAAAACGTAATTTCTCTGTCCCAATTTATGTGTTATATTTTTTTTAGCTCGTCCCAAAAAGAATGTTATACTTATCTATTTAGAAAGAGTTTAACTTTAAATTAAAGAACAAAAGCAAGCACACCCAACAAATTACGTGCAGAGATTTAGACCTCACCATCATAAAGATAAACATAATACGTGGCCAAGATAGATAATTTATAACCTTTTTGAAAATGATGGAGGAGGTGCGTCGAGTCGTCCATGACCATGGCAAGTAAATATTTTTCTATCTTTTGAGTACAAACCTGTTTCAATAAGGTAAATTCAAAGTGGGAACAAAGCTTGAACATTCTCTGCAAAGTCAAAAATTGAAAAGAAGTTAGATAAAGGAGGAATGATATTAAACGATTGCCATTAAACTCATTTAGAAAATGAGTTAGATGAATTATGATGATCAGAGAAGATATGTGTTTTAAGTTTAATACAAAGTTAACATATTTTCTAATTCTTGTTTTGCTTCGGTAGTTATTAAATTTGATAAAATATCAAATGAGGACAAAGCAATGTGGTAGAGTGATCTTCCTATAATTATTAATCATTGTAAAGTCTTCCCGCAACGCGAAAAAAATGCATTATATTTTTCGGTTCATCTAAATAAATAGAGAAAAATGGAAAAAATGAGAAGGTGTTATCACCACCATTATAACAAAAAGGAAAGAAAGATAGACTATAGGCTATATTCAATTTTTTGAGATATGACTGAATTTTGTGGTAGAGATATAAAGTTCTTCTAGATGGTTCTTTCCGATGAAAGAAGACGTGATGTAAATTGCAAGTGATTAACTCCTCGATGGAGAGACCATAAGGATAGAAAGTTCTCTGTCAAACAAAGTATATTACTTTTGAACCCACAAAATGTGTAGCCATGATCTATCAAAGCTCAAGCCTCGATAAGGGAGAATCTAGAAGTTTAATGTAAAGTAATTTCTTTCAATAAATTCATCAAACACTTGTTGCACAAAAAGTTTTACCTAAAAATATAACAAAACCCAATTAAAACTAACTCAAGTTTCAGGTAGTAGCACCCACATGTCCCATATTAAACAGTTCCATTAGTAGTGTTCTTCTACCAAGAAGAGGCAAAAAGACAAAAGCAATAAAACCAAATGAAAAGAAACTTAAATCAAATTTAACTAAAAATTTAACCCAGTCGCTTTGACCACAAATGAAAGCAGAAGTATTATATTGATAGAATTTGCATATGAAGACAAAAATTAAACATGAGATACAAAGAAGAAACAAAATGCACAAAAGAAAATCCAAAATAAATAACAAACACTAACAAAGGATAATAGCAGACAAAAAATGAAACAAAATAGAAGAAAGACTGAAACAAAAAATAGCTCACACACTAACCTGAACCTTGTAACACCCAAAGTAGAAGACCCATGAATATAGATACTTCAAGCAAGAAGTTGACAAAATAGGAAGAAATCCATTGAAAAAAGTAATGAACAGAAGATTGAAAGAGAGAGGAGGATGAATTGAAAAGAAGTGTAAGAAGATTTAAGCAAAAATTGTGGTACAACCCCAAACTGAGAAGATGAAGGGAAAGTGAGAGAGTTAAGAAAGAAGATGAAAGTGTGGCATCGTATATAAAAAAATAAAATGACAGAGTAATGACAATTCTACCCTTGGTCGACCAAGCATGGCTTTTCTATATAATACTAGATGACTCTTGCCCGCGCTTGCGGGCCCAACGATTTGGATTCTAATGCAGCTTTACTTTACATTGCAACTAAGGAAGAAGAACATTTCATGAGATGTACAGTTATGCCAAAAGAACAAAGACAAAACATAAAAACCCCACGATGGCAAATACGTACATCGTACATCGGCTGATATCTCCAAATTGTGAAAAAGTTTCCTTCAATCTTATGTTATCTTGAAAAGGCACTCAACATGGGTGTGTTAGTCATGAACTTAATTAAAGTAAAAAGACGCCTTCAATCAGATCTTGTGCAATTGTATGTAAGCCAAGGCAATATGTTTCACTTTATAAACTTTGAGAGTGCCCTTTTTTTTTCCCTTCTACGTCTATACCTGCTGAAATCAACTCAACTCCCTTCTCTTTCAGCTGATGCGGCTTGTGGGTAGGGAACGAACTACTGACATTTTCACCATGCATAACTACAACTTATGCCTGCACCCTTGACTCGACATGTATGTATTGCAAACTGACAAGATCTTTACGATATATCTCCTCACTCTACAGCTTTCAAGCTCAAGAGTCAAGAAGAAACATAATAAAAATATTGGCTTCAATTAGAGCCCTGAACAAGTTCCGCTAAGGTAATTGTGAGTAAGTTCCGCCAAGGTAATTGTGAACCTGACAATTTTCAAAGATTGAAACTTCAAGAGAAGGGGATTATGTAGGATATTTCACAAGAGCAGCAGGAACAAGACACTGATACTTCTTATGAATGAAAAAACTCTCAGCAAAACAACATATGATGACCAATATTAGGAGAAACACACAACAGAGAAAACCATTAATAACTTAACAATGCAAACTAAATGAATCACAAATAATCATGCTACCAATTGAAAAATAAGCATTATTCCAAAGGAATTCTAAGAATCAAATAACTGTAGTTATTAGAAAAAAAAAAGCATAGCCATGGATTTATTATCATCTAACTACTTTTTATTTAGTTTTCACAGATAATTGGAGGTGTTTTATTAGTAGACGATGTGATGATAAATTCACTTTCCTGCTTATAAAATAGAAACAATACCCTTTTATGTTAAGAAAGCTAAATACGTGAAGCAAGAAATTTTGATCCATTCCTATATATATATACCAGACATCATTAGGTAAACATAAAATTATCAAAGGGACTAAGCCTCACAAAGAGCCTTTATGATCAATGAAAGGCATGTTTGCAAATATAAATATACATTCTTTTAGCACAAACAAAATAACACATTGCAATAGGTACTCTAATAGTTGAAGTAAAATTGGAATACACATATAGTACACACATGAGAGATGGTTTTCTCCTGTATACTGAGTTGATGCCGCTATTGCCTTAAAAATTCATTTACTGACTGAGAAAAGAAAGATCTATATGTTCCTTTGACGTTGTTAATCTTCTCTTTCCAAAATATTAATTTTCTTTTTCTATTCATTCATTTAATTTCTTTGTACTTGCTTACGTTTTTGGACAAAAAATATAGAAATCACGCGAGAAGAAGGTAGATAATAAGAGAATAAGATAGTTGAATAAGGATTGAAGAAACTTGATACCCATACTCCACGTTATAATGGTAATGGATGCTGAGTTTGGGTTCGTTTTCTTCCTTTCTATCTTTTTATTTTTTCAATGGCCCATTAAAGACTTCTCTTCCTTTTCGTTTAATTTCCTTAGAATTTCTAAATATCTTAATTTTTCATTTTTTTTTGAAATAGTAGTATGAAAAAATTAATTGAAAAAATAAAGAATAGAATTCAATAATTAAAAGAACATTATGTAATAGCTTGTAATTGATCTTTCACTTCTAGCTCAGAATTGGCTATGTCATCCGAATCAAAACTACAAATGCAGAACTGAACTTTAAAATCAAGGAGAAATAAGAAAAGGAGATAGAATAGTAAGACTCACCAATCAGAAGCAGTGGAACACCATAAATCTCCAAGCAAGGATAGCGGCAAATAACTGCAACAATAGCCCAGTCCCAAGAGCAACTATATTTCCATAGAGGGAGAAGCGTGTATGTAAAGGATAATAAAAAAGCGTGTATCTCCATAGCTCCTACTATAACTGGAGGAAAAAAAGGCGCAGAGAGATGCTAAAACTCAGGCAAAGGGGAAAGCGATGAATGAAAAAGCTCTAGAGGATTTTAGAGCCACAAAGAAAGCAAAATAGAGGAGGGGTATGTGACAATTCCGCATAGGGTAAAAGAAACGCATACTAGCTTAAGTAAAGAATAGAAAAGTCCAATATGCCCTTAGTCGACCATCATAGGTTTCTATAGTATACCTATCTTCGTAGCAAAGAAAGATTCTAATCTTCAACTAAGATTGTTCGCTATCAACCACATGATCTAACTGAAAATAAATGGAGAAACAACTCATTAAATGTTTGTGAAGCATGTTTCCCTAGAAAGGGAGCAATGTTGTGTTAAGTTTAACATATTTATAAAAATTAGCGTACTAATTACACTCCTTTAAAAGTTAAATTCATAATTAAAACAACTCTCATCACTTTTACTTAAAATATTTTCACCACCCAACAAATGTTACACACATGCCTAAAACGCAACACAAACCAACATAATCGGAAGCAGATATTAGTATTCTATCTTCTGAGAACTAAGCTCTTGGGTTCTTATATCTTTTGTCATAATTGAAAGCCATTAGATCGGTGTAATTCTCCCATGGATCAGTGATCAATGATCTAATTATATTAATAAACTTTGTACTTCTAAATGCGCTTGGAGCAATATTAAGAAAGTAATAGGAGGATCTTCATCTTCACCATAAAGATGATCTTTTTTTTTACAACAATCCAGTAAAAAGAAAATAGGAATAGAAATCCAATAAGCTTCTGGATGTTTTTCATCACCAAGTTTGAAGCAGAACAAACAGAAAAAGGGAGGAATGCACAAGCATTCCCTGAACATACGGCGAAATATATAAAGGCAAAAAAAAAAAGGTAATTTGCATGACTGTAAAATTCCATCTCCACACAATCAACTCGTGTAATTTTATCCCTAAGAATTCATCTGAAATATAGAATCAATTCTGTTCCAACTTCCTCGAATTATAGCACTACGGAAAATATATGATTATAATATTGAGAAAATTCAAGTAAAACAACCTCAAATATCTCACATAATACACTCATGACAAAGACATTTAAGAAACAGGTATACTAAAATTAAAGAATGCTCTAAAAAGAATATTATCTCTGTACATATCATAAATATGTTCCCAGAGACTGTACCTTTAAAGAGCAGCACATACATGATAAAAGAGCACCATTGTTGTCGGCGAAGAACTCCAAGTTATGTCCTAAACTCTTCTACCTCACGCCTAACTCTCCAACAACAAAAGTCAAATCAGACCGGAAAATAAATTCCTCGTAAAGATTAACCCGAAAAAAAAGAACAAGATTTGGACAAAACTTAAAAAAGGAGGTGACCTGAAAGTTGCAATACCCAGTTGAGAAAATGAAGAGAACTGAAAAAGGCATTAACAAGTCTGGAGAACTTGAACATATAAGGAAATGAAAGAAGGTGAAGCAATTGATCTTCCTACAGATTTGAAAGAAAATCATACATGTAATTGGAATAAGGGAGGTGAAAGAGTTATGCTTCTAGAATTGTGTTCGAGTGTTACTTGGAAAAAGCAACTCGGACCATTATACCCTTTATTTTATTGTGCAAAATAACAATTATAGCCTTGGTCGACCAACTTCTCATTTATATATAATAGATAATAGAAATATAATAAGAAAAAAATATAAAAATAAATATAATTTTAAATCTAGTTTTCGTCGAACTTAATCAACTATGGCAAGAAAATTAATTCAATTATGTAACAATCAATCACAAAATACACTTTATTGAAGCAATCTTCACAAATTAAGTAGTAGAGAAAATGGAAAAAAATAGGCTTATCCTCAAGGTTATCAAAGGAGTATACAAATAAAAGAGGGAAATATGAAATAAACCTAAACTAAGTGTATCACAAGTGGATTACAAGTTTTTTCTTGGGGTGCAAACTGTATTAATCGAAACTTTAAGTGGGAAGGTAGAAAATCACCGATTCATCATTTTCTCAGAAGTCTTTATCAGAAAACCCAGGGTCACTGCTATCGGCGACTGAAGCAAAATATCGCCCATAGTATTTCGTTACTGCAAATCGTAGATTTTCTCGGCAGACAAAAGGTAAAAATTTGAGCTTCATTTTTTGTTCTGTTGTGTCCTTTGTTCATTATAATTGGATTTTTTTTTTTTTCTGTTTTTGCTTCCTTATTTGTATAATTTATTATTATTAAGTGAAATTGACTTGAATAGAGCGAAATGGATATAAAGGATTCGTATTGTAAATTAAACTAGTTTTGGGATTGAGGCGTAGTTTGTTGATTGATTGACTGAAAGATTTAACCTACTGCTATTAATTTCTGTCAGATCTTGTTCCTTGAAATTGTAGATAAGCACAAGATTACACACTTAGGCATGTGTTCAGGAGATTGAATTTGTTGTAGGTTTATATGTTGTGCTTTTGGTGTGGGAGATGATTAGGGTTTTTGGTTTGACTCAGGTATGACTGATGATGTTCAGCTCTGATCTGTGAGATAGAGTCGGAACTAGCTAAGAAAATATCAGCTCTCATTTTTTTGATAGCCGTGTTGTCCGAGCCAGCTTGCTAATTCCGCGAGGTACCTGCTACCTTCCACCAGCAATAGGTAGCACGTACTCTGTCCACTAAGGTTTATGGGAAGAAATCACCTAGTGATTTTGCCTTCATTAGGATTTGAACCTAAAATCTCGTGGTTCTAAATCCACTTTATTGACCACTAGGCCACACCTTTGGGTGTTAAACATCAGCTCTGATTTTAGCCCCCAAGACTTAGTTCAAGTGGCAAAATATTGAGGGATTTGTGAGTTGGGTCACGGGTTCGAGCTCTACATCATGCGAACTAGGCTTGGTATTTAAGTGGCGGGCCCATTATCTTTGATCCTAAGGGTTCGCCCCAGACGTATGTCCTGGACGTCAAATAAATATCAGCTTTCATTTTGTGGGGTTTTAGAGAACTAGTAAGTACTTTGTCAACAAAACCACGAAAAAAATTGTTGTTCTTTCTTGTGTGCATTAGAATAACAATGATTATGTGCAGTTAAATAAGATGAAATTACTAACCCGTTTCCAGTAGTGTATTTGGTTGGGAAAAAAAATATTCATGGAAATTTTGAGGTAGGCCCGAAATAGAGTAAGATAGATATAGATGAATCATATAGATGGGATTGAGGCTCAGTTGATAGATTGTTTGATGGAAACTTCGGAGTTGAGTCTCAGCTCTGTTCTTATTTCTATAACATTCAGAACGGACCATAGAAATATAAGGTGATCAATGCAGAGTCATTTGTCTACACATGTGAGAGTGACTTTTTTTATCAAAAGCCTCAGTCTTCCTGAATCAAATTGCTAAATAGCTAACCTTCTGCTGTTTATTCTGAGGGAAGTGGCAGACAATATTTTGAACCTTTTCACGCTAGATCTTTACTGGTTACCGATTTTTGTAAGTCCGTGGAACAAATGGTCATAGATTTTATGTGGTGTTGTTTTTCTAAATTGAAAAAATTAGCAAAATTGGGTGTGTCTGGTCCCCTTTTTTGGGATAGATATAAGAATCCGTTGATACAAGTCTGAGACAATCTAAGAAAGTCCATCAAACCTCCCAGAAATCTAACCAACTTCTATATAATTGGGTGTCTCCACTTTGCAGCAAAATCTAAAAGAAAAAGAGAACTTTTGGTCCATGACAACGGATTCTCAACCGTTCATTTTTTTTTTCCTAGTTACTTCCCGCCATAATAACCAAAAAATACAAAAGGGTGTGGCCTTCCCGGCTACTTTCTGCTTGCCTCCAAGTTTCTGTCGTTGTCTGCTCTGTTAGCTAGTTAGATGTTTGATTTTAGTTTCGTTATTGCTGGGTCTAGGACTTTCTTGGTATTGATGGCATCCAAGATTCAGCAACTGCAATCTAAGGCATGTCAAGCTTCACAGTTTCTTGCTAAGCATGGTACTGGATACTACAAACAGTTGCTGGAGCAGAACAAACAATATATTGTGGAGCCACCCACTGTTGAAAAATGCAATGAATTGTCCAAACAGTTGCTCTACACTCGTCTTGCCAGGTTATACTCTCTTCAGCCTAATTACTCGGTATCTGTTGCTAAGCTTTGGGGATCAGTCATTGTATTTCTGCGATGAGCAGGCCACTATCTGCTTGGACCTTTGTTATAATATGCACATGAAAACCAGTATGAGTAATTTTGGTTCCTTGGCTGATGGATTAGGTACACCACATTGGTCTATTCTCACTGATGTGCAGTATTTTTTTTTTTTTTTAGGTGTACTCTGGAACTGCATCTTATAGTTATTTTGATTTCATTCAGTTTTGAAGTGCAAAGTTTTGTGCGTGATAATGTGCATTAAATGTATTTGGTCTGTTTCAAACCAAGTAAATCGTATAGCCATATTCATAATCTCGTGTTAAAAAGCATAAAGTAGATTATTATTTATAGACGTAGTCATAAAATTCTCTTGTTAAAGGTTATTATAAGCATCGCTTATTGAAAAAAGATTATTATAGGCAATTCTATGCTCTATGATAAAATGTTATTATGTGAACTAATCATTCTTCATGTGATGCAACCAAAGATATCATTAGTTGAGATGCTTTATCTTACCCCCCCCCCCCCCAAGTTATTA